TGTTAATGTATGATAATGTACGATAATATATGTTAAAAATGTATGTTATAAAGTCCTTACTGAAATTTTTGCCTTTTCATCACAGCACTCATTGGAAAAATCAGTGACTTTCAATCGCTTTCTCCAAGAGAAGTTCCATATGGGAAGGCCATGTACCTTCATAATGGGATGTTCTACCATGCTGTGGATCCGTATTACCCAAGAGTAAGAAAACAAAATATTGTATCAACATGTGATAGTCAAAAGCATAGATCTCTGGGGTGGGGTTGCTCGTCGGAAAATTTGAATTCAACCTCTATAGGAGATCAACCTGCGCGTGCCTCGTGACCCCTAAAAGATACCACTTAAAACAGAATGCGATGGTAGTCCGGACTCGAGAGAGCGGCGAAATCGAGCCTATAAACGGAAATGAGGGAGTTTTTTTATTGTTATTTCTTCAAGTGCATCCTAATAGATACTTTGACCGCTAAAAATAGTGGCGTTTTGTTTTGAGCATCCTACGTGAGAATAGAATCCTTGATTTATACCCCTAAGGGAAACGATGCGTATCGCGGATCTTTTCATGAGGGATCACCCCCCGGGAGGGGGGTTGGGCATAGATACAGCGCCCACCAAAAGATCAGGGAGCCTGTTTCACGAATGTACGAAACCAATTCACTTCCGGTTTGAGGGTCTTGAAACAGCCAAACATGTGTCGAGGATTTGTTCTCGTGGACAGCCCAAGTGGCTTTCGCGCCTTTTCATCCCCACGAGAACACTCGCGTTACGCGCGTGGGAACATTGCGTATAAGAATGTATAACTCAAGGAATCTCCATTCTCCGAAAAAAGCTTTCGTTGCCAACTCCAGCGCAGATAATTAGTTAATAGAGATTGGTGATTGCCGGCGAAAATTCTGTTTGTTAATTGTTGCAGTTCTTCTTCTTTTACTGTGTGCCTTTAGAACTAGATTTTTTATGTAAATTGGCTCATTTCCTACTAAATGGAGCTCTGATTCTTTGAAGATGATATATTAATTAGTGGACAAAAATTAGGAATGTAGGAAATTTAAACTAAATTACCTTATTCTCACCAAATTTCGGGAGTATTTAATCTCTCGAAGAGTCAAGCGCCGTATTTCGCGAGTATTAAATTTCGCGATTTTGAGAGGAAATTAGAATTGGAGTGCATTAAATGTCGCGATTTTTTTCTGTTCTTTAATATGTAGCTTTGACGTCAGAACTGTAACAACATAATTTATAACATGATCGTCATCGTAAACAATAGCAAACATAACAAATCTTAAGTTACGGTGTTCCACAATAGGTACACCTATATTTACACTCAACTTCGTTCTTATCGTTTTCTGTTAGCCATTTTATGGAGGTCCATATTATGCTTCGAAGTCGCTGAACGGATCTTCTGGGGAAGCTTCGTTTCATCGCAATAACAGTAATAAAACAGCAGCTTGAATTTCATTATTAATTGATATTATATAGGTATTAAAATTTCGCGATTTGATCCTTCGCGAGTCCAATATTTCGCGAGTATTAAATTTCGCGAGTTTTTCAAAATCGCGAAAGTCGCGAAATTTAGTGACAATAAGGTAGTTTATGGCAGTAGATGCAGAACACAACCCAAACCGTGGTTAGCTTGGACACTACCAGCTTTTACGTGATTTGTCAAACACGAGTGACAAAGTTTTATCAAATGCTACAGACAGTGTTTCACGACATTCTCAACAACCGAGGAGGGTGTTGAAAATACGAAAGCGTAGCGGAGTGTTTTTGACGAAATTCCAGATGTTTTGAAACTTAACGAGTTACTGTCTCGTCTGTTTAATTTGATAATCCTACTAAATCGAAACAAACCCCGGAGGAAAAGTAAGAAATACTATCGTAAATTTCTACGCTAATTAAGAACGCATTCCCAAACACAAGCTGGTTCGTCTACAAGCGCTCGAGGAAAGACTTAAGAGCATGAAATACTAGGAGGGCTGTGCTCGTCGGCAAAACACTGTCACGGTTAAGTGATTTCTTGAGTGTGTTATTAATGAATTATTATTATTATTATTATTATTATTATTATTATTATTATTATTATTATTATTATTATT